TCCCACATACACCACCACGCCAAATACATCGAACGAGCTGAGGCCATCTATGCCGTGGGACTACTCCATTTGGCAGCCATTTTCTACTTCCCATCCTCTACATACCGTTCCAAACAATGGCGCACACGTTTTCTACAGCTCCGGATCCACCCAGACCATTGCCCCCAACTCAGTCTACTACGTCAAGCTCTACTTCAATTCCCACGACACACAACGATGCTACCACCAACATGGCCACTGCTATGTGGGCTCCACCGCAATCGGCATGCCTCGCCGGCAACACAACCGCAGAGCCAAATTAAAGCAACTAGCCAAGAACACCCCCATTTCAGCAGAACTCTCCCTTCGCTACTGGCATGCAACCAACCATCACCCAGTTCTCCACCATCCACATTGCTACATACCCGGATTATGACCAAGCGTGGATTCACGAACGCCTGTACATCTCCCGATGGCAACCTACACTCAATTGGCCCTACATCTCACAGCACTTGAAGCTCAAAGCAGACGGCTGGCAATTCAGCAGACACAGGCTCACTTCTTTCCACGCCTAGCCAACCACTACCGCCTCTTTCGGCGACTACGACGACGTCTACATTCCACTGACCAACCTATACTTCACACCTCACACAAACTACATGCACTCACAGTCCTACGGGACCTCACCAAAGACACACACATCCTTCGACGCCGCCCGACATCTACGTTAGTTCAGGCAAGTACACAGACCTTGAAGTCTACGCCATTCGTCGCATGGCCACCAGCCTCGAAGAACCAGGACGCAGTCGAGCTCTTCACCTCCTCAACCAAGCCTTGAAGTATCGCAATCTCACACCACCGAAGAGCAACCTTCCCTTGACCATTCCCTTCCTAGCCCACCAGCTTCCAATCCGACCTTCAACGCTGGCTCGCCCAGCTCCTCAACCATCACAAACAGTTTGCCATTCCCCTCCACCTCCCCACATGCCGAGTACGTGAAGCAGCCCACCCCACACTATGCAGTCGCCTGCACAACCACCGGCGATGGGAAACACTGTTAGGCAGCCCCCCTGACATCGATCAGCTTCCTTGTGGGTGTGATCGTCTACGCAGCCTCCTTCTACCCACTTACCATGACACTATTGGGGACCATTTGATTGTCACCCTCGCCGATTTACAACTTCCAGCACATTCTTTCCGACCAGCAACGCTACTTCGACTCTGTTCGGCGAAACCTCATCAAATGGCTTCGACATCATGGACTCCCGACTACTCTATCCCATCACGCCGACTCTTTTCTCACCATTCAGTGGAACCACCACAATCTCCAACTTCACCACAAGGATCGCTTCACCGCCAGATCAGTCAAACAGTTGCAAGAATTCTTGGGCGACAAAGTTGTCCTCCGTCATGCCGATCATGAACTACAACATCTCAGGATCTTTTGCCCCCACATCTACTTCCGTGGTTGTTTAGCCACGTGGCAATCACCAGAACTCTTCCAACCATTGCCAGATGATACAGACCAGACCATCTCTAACATCATCCAACACACGTACCCCGCACACCTTCGCCAAAAATACAAATGGGGCTTCAACACCAAGTTCAAGATGCCATATGGAGTTGTCCACTTGAAAGCCAAGAAACAATGGCGCAAAGGTCGCACCATCATCTCCTACTTCAAATCCTACTATGGCCCACTCTTACGCGTCACATCCAACATCCTCAATACCATGATCTGTCACCTTCTACCTCAATCACCAGGACAACTTCCCATTCCTCAACTTTGACACCATTTCCACGACTACCTTCAGAACACACCAGTTTCCGTGGATCTCTACGCAGTCAACGACGATTTGGTCGGCTTTTTCAACTCCGTCCCCCAAGACCGCCTGATCCAAGCCGTCCACACCCTGGTCAACCGCTGGCAACACACTTTTGACACCCCAACCCTGACGGTGGACACATATACAACCGGAGACCCAATCCAGCTCGCCCACATTGGCCGTCATCACCGCAAACATCCCACACAACGGACACTGCACACTAGCGACATCACCACGATTGTAGCCTTAGCACTTGACTCATGCATTTTCAAGGCACGCAACTCATATTTCCTGCAGGTCCGAGGAGCCGGGATTGGCTCTCAGCTCTCACCCTCATCGAACACTCCCGGCATCAACTCCACCACTCCTTGACAGACCACACCGAGATCCATTCCGTCTACTACAGGTACGTGGACAATCGCTTCATCGCGTTCAACCGCACATTCCTCAAGCACCTCGCCATCCGGACCTTGATCCACCCGGACTTCTATGGCAACCCAGTGGACAGTGGAACTGGCACCCGTGGAAGACATGCACTTACTGGGCTTCGATGTTGACTTACATCAAGGGACTATCTCCTATATCCCACCTGATGCTCCTTGGAAGATGCGCGATTATGCCTCAGCTGGCTCCACCCGACTACGACTATCAGGTCTACATTCCGGAGCCCACCTCATCCGCAAGCACACCTACCCGTCCTCGGCTGTTGAGCGAGCGCTCACTCAACTAGCAGACCTATACGTCCAAAAAGGACATGATCTTCGCAGCTGTCGTCAAGCCGTGCAAAAAGCTTTCGTCTTAGCTGCTCTCACTTCCCCGCGGGTTCCCCATGCAGAGTGCGCCGTCCCCGGCCCTCTGTGTGTGTGTGTCAACACCTGTTTCCAAGGTTCTCATAACTAATTTTTGAGAAGGATCGCTGGACTAATTTACGCCGCTGTTCCACTCAGTTCCAGTTTCACGCAGCAGGGGGCAGCGGCAGGACCGCTACCAACGAAGACGCCCATTTGATCTGGTGATATCGGAGTTGGCCACTCCGACGTACCTGCACCAATTTTTAAATTGACTCGTTGCCGAAACCCATGCAACCATTGTTTCACCCGTGTTAAACCATACAGTTGCAGCCGACCCATTCACCATTCCGTTTGCAAGTCAAGGTCTACAATGCATCGGGAAATGTATTCGTCTAAAGTGGGACTTCGTACTGATACTAGCTCTTGCGAGCAACCATCTAAGTGTGTTAACACCTGTTTCCAAGGTTTGTACCTGGTAAGTATGCCTGCCGTAGGTTTTACTAGGAGGCTGGACGCTACTAGTAGCTCCTGGCCTCGCTACTAGGAACCAAACTACAACTAAAACAGCGCGAGCAAAAAGAGGCAGGGGGTCGCTGGGGATTCGCGCAGTCAGCGACCAACGAAGACGCTGCACGTTTCCTGTGATATGAGTCGAGGACGCTCGACTCACGTACCTGCATTTTTCCAAACTGTTCACAAGCTGTCCAATGCGTTGTTTCCTGCAGTAAACGGCTAATGCATTTCCAAACTTTGTTAAACATCTACAAGTTCGCCGACTCCACCACCTTTCGGTTTGCGCTTCGTTCTGTTCATCAAGTCAAGGGGGACTTCACTCTGATCCTAGCTCTTGCGAGCAACCATCTAAGTGTGTATCGCCACAGAGTTTGACTGAGGGCTGTGGTGTGATCCCCATCGAGGGGCGCTGCGTGCGCATAGACCCAGATCCTGGGGGACCCACCCTAAACGCACCGTTTTTGCGAACTTGGACTTCTCTTGAATCCCCTGATCCGCCGTTCTGCTTGATACCACTGATTACGACCCAGTCAGGATTTGCACATGCGTCTAAGTATTCACCTGTACAGTTCCCACGGCTATAGGCAGCCACAGACTGCTTTTCAGTTGCATGTGCTTGTCATGCTCTTGAGTTCTTTCTCTCTCTTTCTGTTGCTTTTCGTTTCTTGAGGCCTTTCTTTAGGTTTCAGGCCTTTCAGACAATGGGTTGCGCCGGCCCAAATCGGCTTTACTTGAATGCCACTGATGGCAATGCCTTCGGGCCCCTCCCTGCCCCTGGCCTCAGTTGCTATCCCACCCGCTATTTAGGGTAACAGAAGGAAAACCGCACTCAACACACTTGTGTGTTGGTGCCTTTCCTTCTGTTTCTCCTGTCCTACTCCTAGCTACCCGGGCGGTTTAAGACAAAAGTCCTGCTCGCTAACGATTTTCATTTAACTAAGTGGGCCTCGTCACTATACCTATCTTTCTTTCTTGCCCTCTTCGTGTGCTTTTGTTTTGTTTTCTTTGTCTGTCTTTCTAAGGCTTTTGAGGTGATTAGTAATTTTCCGGAGCGCCGATATCGGCGTTATGTGTACAAAGCTGCTGCAGGGGTACAGAGCGCCGATTGCGGCATAGTGTGTGTGTGTGTTAACACCTGTTTCCAAGGTTTGTACCTGGTAAGTATGCCTGCCATAGGTTTTACTAGGAGGCTCGATGCTACTAGTAGCTCCTGGCCTCGCTACTAGGAACCAAACTACAACTAAAACAGCGCGAGCAAAAAAGAGGCAGGGGGTCGCTGGGGATTCGTGCAGTCAGCGACCAACGAAGACGCTGCACGTTTCCTGTGATATGAGTCGAGGACGCTCGACTCACGTACCTGCATTTTTCCAAACTGTTCACAAGCTGTCCAATGCGTTGTTTCCTGCAGTAAACGGCTAATGCATTTCCAAACTTTGTTAAACATCTACAAGTTCGCCGACTCCACCACCTTTCGGTTTGCGCTTCGTTCTGTTCATCAAGTCAAGGGGGACTTCACTCTGATCCTAGCTCTTGCGAGCAACCATCTAAGTGTTGGTGGAATAAAAGACTTTCAAGAACATACTTGGGAATAAGCAAAGTTTAGCAGAACTCTCACAGTTACTACAAAAAGAGCGACTTGTTTAGACTAGGAAGAGCGTTTTGAAGAGAAGAGGAACAAATGCATTTCTTTGGTTCCAAATAAGCATACTTGGGAGGGCATGGCACCGCATCAAGAAGAGGGAAATTGATTTGAGCCGTAGTATATGACATCTATATAGCTTGAACATCCTTGTTGAGCCTCGTCGATATTGTTAAACCGTGGATGCAACAGCCCGCAGACTTCTAGGACGTTTCACCAAGCTAACCCGGAAACTTCCAACGACAGACAGTCCGGTGAGAAGGTGCACATGACGTTCAAGGTGTCCGTGCTGAACAGTTTCACCTCGCAGGAACATCGTGGTGGAACAAGAGCAAAAACAAAAGCAAACTGGTTCAGGCTCAAGAAGCTGAAACCACACACTTGGCAACAGGCAGGCTTTGACAGCTGCATCGGTTGCCTCAAGTCCCAGACCTGCAAACCCACATTTGATGCACAAGCACTATATAGTCACTAGTCCACCGGTCAAAAATATTAGTCCAACCTCTCTCAGAGACTTCTTTCATGGCAAAAGGACAGCTTCCAAGACCTTGCAAGTGTGGTCGAAGGACGCCGTGGCGAACAGGTGAGGTGACCTGAATGGGAAGCGACGGTGACTTAATCATTCCCTCACAGGGTTCCGCACCTGTGTGAGAATCGGAGGATATTGATGAAGTTTTGGTGCATCCCCCGGAACCTCATTGACACGCCACAAGAATGTGAATGTTTTGGTAGTGGAAAAGCATGTGCCTTGAACTTGGCGTTCCAAGAAAAAATGCCTGCATGCCTTCTGCCACACAACCAAATATAAAACAACGAAAACATACACTGCCGAAAACTAACATAGACCCTGACAATGGCCCCCTGGAAGATTGTTTTCCTCTATATACCAACCAGTGGTTTTCAGGGTCCATGTTAGTCTTCCAGGGTATAGAGTTTTGTCCTCGCCTGGATGATGAAATGCCAGCCACAATGCGCAGGCTGCCAAAAATTGTTACGTTTCTATGGGGCAAAATCCCGCCAGGCAGTGGAATAAATTGTGGGGGGAAGGACACAACTGATGTGGACATGACTGGGCTCTAGTGACTCCAGTGGCAACAGGGGCAAGAGGATCAATAAAGACTTGTTATCAGGATGTAACAATTGCAGGTAAGCGGATTCACAACGCTTTCTAGGGGAAACAAAGCGCGGCTGCTCACGCGCATTTTTTGAGCAGACTCAAGGGCCCTGCAGGTCAAGGGCAGGTCAGGTCATGAACGCTACCGCTCTTGCATTGCTCTATATTTAAAAGAGCCGAGCAACTCCTTGCGAGTGCTCACAGCGAGCGGTGTGAACCACTAGCCAGCTCTCAGTGTCGGCTGCATCAGCTGCGGCCGCCTTCTCTCCGGTTCGGTGCTCATGAGGGCCAGGTGGTTCTCATTGAGCAGCTGCCGCAATTCATGTTGCGGTTTCACCTTAGTCAGGTGATCTGCCATCTGAACATCCGTGGGCACCCAGCGGTATAGATGTCCTTCATCCTCTCGCCACTGGGTTCGAGCTCCACTGAAGCTTCTCGAAGAGCTCCAATGTCCAGCGTCAAGCGCTTCTCCTGTGCGCTGCTCAGCGGTCCGTCCTTGACCAACAGGTCATAGAGGGAGCGGCAATCCGTTGCCATGGAAGTTGGAAAAGCCCTCGATCAGCAACTCGGCCAAAAGCTCCCTTGTAAACAAAGCGGCATCTGCCGCTGCATCAAGTGCCATCGTCTCAGCTGCCAAAGTGCTCCTGCAGCGTCGGCGGATTCGATGGCTCCGCCATTCCACCAAGTTGGCGACGTCGCCCTCCGGGGTGTAGACCTTGTTGCCGGTGATGAAGACCATGTAGCCGGCTTGCGATTGAGATCCTCCGCATTGGCCCATGAGGCGTCTGAGAACGCCACGATCCGTGCCCGTTCCATCTGAGTCGGCACGAATCTCATCTTCCAGCTCTGGGACTTGAGGGCCTCCTTCAAGAGCTTGTTCACCTCCATGAGGTTGGTCACGGTTGGAGAGCCACTCATCCACAAAGATGTCCCGGCGGCCAGGTCAGGTCTGGTTTGACCTGTCAGCCAATGCAAACATCCACCTCCAGACTTCAGTTCTGTGACCTCGGCTGGGGTCAGAGCTGAGTCCTTCATCAAGTTCTCCAGCGCGGCACCGGGGTTAAGGTCAAGGCGCGAAAGAAGGACTCCTGGGAGATGGTGACAACGTCGTCCTTCGCAATCTCCTTGCCTCCGTAGACCAGTTGACCTTCTTTTCGAGAGTCGTGCCAGTCGCCAAAGTCGAACTCGGCTCGGACGCGGTCCAAAACGGCATCCGCAGTTTCGGGTTGTCCAGTACAGATGAGGTCGTCGACGTGGGCGCCGATGGCGAGGATCAAGCGTCCATTCTGGTATAGTAGGCGAACAATGCCTTATCCAGCGTCGACTGCACAAAGCCCAGTCGGATTATATAGTGAATCTCGAAGGAAGCGCCAGAACAGCCTGGGGCTGTTGGCCAAACCAAAGATGCGACGCACCACCAGTAGAAGTTGTCCTGGTTGTAGGTCTGGCAAACCTTCCTTCGGCTGGCGGATGAACAGAGGTTCTTGGCGCTGAGCTATAGTGCTTGGTCGCCTTGAAGAAAAGCGCCAGTCACATCTGCGGTCACGATGAACCAGTCTTGGTGCGAAGCTGCCAGCTGCAGGATCAGCATCAACCCAAGGCGGGTTAATGTCGGAGCATCCCGGCGTAACTCCAGCAAGTCGGGGTCTGTGTCTCCTCGACATACTATCCGGGCCTTCGGCTTGATCTCCAGCGCGCTTGTCCCTGTAGCACACTCGAGCTGCCAGGATGCGAGATGGGTCGAAGAGCTTCTCGACCTCGCGGCTGCATTCCAGACTCAAGATCTTCACCGCCTCATACTTCTTCCATGTTGTCCACTCCTTCACCAGTGCTTGGCGGTATAGTTCTCGATGTTCGAGCGGTATCGCGCTCCAAGGCAGTTCCTTCTCCAAGGCCTTCTTGTCCTTGCGGGACATGGTCTGAGGGTTCTGCCATGACGCCACGGCCTGTAGCACGTTCTTGGAGTCGATCACCATGAAGACGGTGTAGCCGGTCCATTTCTTGTCCATGTTGACGTTCCTTTGGGAGGTCACCCATGTGTCGTGGATCACCTCGCGGCCCTCCGGGAGAAAGAGCACGGTAGTTCTCTGCCGTGAAATAGTGTCCAAAGGCACCGGAAGATCTTGTCCTCGACCAGGATCATATAGAGCTCTGCGACGTTGGACAGGACTTCGTAGGCCAACCTGCTGGCAATGTTGACGCCAGATGGTTCCAGTCTCGGAGTCGCCATAGGCTCCTCTTGTGGTGGCGGAGTTGCTGCAGACCCTGTTGATACTTGTTCAAGTCGTGGTTTCTTCGACTCCTGGCCTTCGATGCGCCAGAGATGATCAACAGGTGTGCCAGGTGCTCTTGTGAGCCCATGCGGTGAAGTTGCCGGCAGCGTTGTCAAATCAGTGCCGTGCGAGGGGGTTTCAGGTTGTTCAGCAGCTTCTGGGCGTAGTGAGGGCGTGTACTCCACATCATCCATGAGCCCATCCATGTCGAAGAGCGGCGCCCGATCGATGTCCTCCTCGTCCAACTCATCATCTTCTGGCACGGGTGGAAGTTCTTCAGGAGGTAGTGTCCCCGTGCGAGCATCTTCATGATCGTCAGGAGGATGGTCCTGAATCTCCTGGAGGATGTGCTCATGCACTGGCCAAAGTTCAGTGCCAAAAGCCGGCCTAATTTGTTCTCTCGAGACCAGGATGCACTGGCCATTTGATGTCACCCAGTAGTTGTTTTGCTTGGTGCTGCTGTCACCCTTGCGCGGCCCAATGACGATGCCGCGGTACCAAGATGCTGGTACTCTTCTGCCTTTCTGGCCTTTCCGGCCTTGTCGATATTTGGCTTCGCGCCAAAATGCCACCAACTCTCCATGTAGCTCTCCCGAATGGGATGTGCTTTTCGAAGAATTGCTGTTCTCACAGCTTCGTTGAGCCTGTAGGCGGATAGCTTCTCGTCAGCTTGTGCCCGAATGATGGCCCGCTTCCTCAGCTCATCGTCCAACTCCATCGCCTGCAAGGCCTCAAACTTGCCATCGGGCGAGAGCACGTCCTCCGGAATCTCGGGGTTCCGGCCGAAGACCCATTGATAGGCCGAACATCCAGATGAGCGTACCTTATCGTTGAGGGCAGCGGCTACTGCACAAGCCAAAGTTTTCATGTCTCTGTCACCTTCCAAGGCCATCTCATCGACCAGCTTCTTGCCGACTTCCTTGAAGGCTCTGTTGTAGGCTTCGACTTCTGAATCTCCAGCCTGCCAATGAGCTTCTGCCGGTGGGTTGTCCACGATGGTGCCCATAGAGCGAATGCGCTCCAAGAACTCGGCCTGGAAGCCGCCATCCTTGTCCACCCACAGGTACTTCGGGTAGCCAGCCCATGAGGCCCACAGCAAAGTGAACAGGTCCCAAACTGCGCCAGGTTCTCGTGTCGGCGACGGGTAGAAGACGTTGAAGGACCCGTTGGGCTCAAGGATGTGCAGAAACTGGTGCTGGTTCCCTTGGATGTCGGGGAGGTGCACAAAGTCCATGCATAGTTTGGAGTTGAAGGCGCCGATGACCTTGAAGGAGGTAGGTCTCGGAATCTTAGGTCGTCTCGACCTTTCACAAACCGCACATTTTAAACGGCGGCTCAACTCAATCGCCTCCGTCTCCACATTGCCTTCCTGCACCAGAGCTCGAGTCAGATCTGGTTGTGAAGGATGTCCCAAATTCTTGTGCAACTTCACGATGGCGGGCGCAAACCTCTTTTGCTTCACGGTCAGCGGAGGTCCGGTGAACCACTGCTCTTGGGCATAGGTCTGCTTGGTGATGATCCGGTCCTCGTAGGCCGCTGCTTCACCATCCGGTAGTAGTTGCAACAGTTCTGGGGGTGCCTCCAGGTATTGGCGTTCACCTTCTCGCTGAGGTGTCGGATCTGCAGGGTCGCCTGGCGCATAGCCTGTCACGAAGATGGCCACTCTGACCGGAGTCACGAATCTCTCTCTTGGGGCCTGTGCCGTTTTGAAGTACTCGGTCTCGATGGTGATGGTGTCATCATTGCGCAACAAAATGGATGCACGGTGGCAATCTTCCAGTCCTGTCCGGACTCGCTTGGCTTTGGGCAGGTGAGCCAACTGTATGTTCATCACCTGCCAGGGCACCAGCTTACCTCCTCCGCCTCAGACAGAAGCGGTTTCCACTCGGACTCTTGGCGGTTCACGTCCACGTACCAGGCCGTGTTCGTGTTGTAGGACTCGTTGACCGTCATAGTCCCGTAGTCCTCCTGCTCCACGATGCGCCAAAAAGCTCTACAGATGGCGTCGCCCAAGTCAGGTGGATAGCAGGCAGAGGCTGCTGTGTTTGACCCGGCAACCTTCTCGTGTTGATGAGCTCGGTCGCACTGAAGATCCAGCTCCTCCACAAAGATGGGATCTGTAGCCACGAAGCGGACCCGCTTCTGCATAGGGAGGCCATTCTTTCCTGTGAGGCCAAACATGCAGAGGCATGCTGTGGTCTCATACCACTTGGATCTCAGCCTCATGATCTCCGGCTGGGTCTGCGATTGAGCTGTTGCTGGGTTCTCTGCTAAGGCGTGTCCTTGTTGTCAAGTCTGGCTGTTGAA